CTTTTCTGTCAGAGTAGATAATTAAGAGCAAATTTTATAACTTGTTAGTGTCTCTCTCTTATTTAGTAGGCTGGTGTCATCTTCTCATGGGACTAGTACTTGGAATAAGAGGACATCTAGAGGAAGAGAAGTTATATCATTCCTCTGTCCCCACATACTCCTTCACCCACTGGGTGGCTTCAGTGTTGCTCTCTTAGTGACATCTAGGACGACTGCCTCCAGCCTCTCTGACGTCTGGCCTCTCAGCTGCTGGATCCTCTTCTCCTGACACGCAGCCCACACCCTCAAGCCTCACAGGTCATGCTGTCTGGCCAGCAGGTTCCCAAAGCCCAAGTCACACATCGCAATTAAGTCACAGTTGTCTTGGAGGTGGCTAACCCATCGCCTGCCTCTCTTGGTACAGGAGCAGAAGGTGGTGGAGCCAAATGGGGGGAGGGTACTCCTCATTCTTCACGAGGAGAAATTCAGACCTCTCCTTTGCTGGCAAATTTAGAAGAGCTGGCATTCCCCTCCTTATTTCAAAGCCTTCTTGAAATTACACAAGACAGTGGATTACACAAGACTTCTAAGTGGAGTCTCAATTCTGCCCTGGAAATTGTTTACTTGCAGTTTATTTTCATGTCCTAGTTGAAACTTGAAGCCCTGACTATTAAAACACACACATACACAATTTAAAAAATCCTTATACTTCCTGCTCCTCTGCCAGAAATTCCTAAAGCAACATTTTGTTTGTTGTTCCAAGTTTGGCATTACAATTCTCTGTGTCCATTTGTTCTGATCCAGATGCAGTGTTTATACTTTTGTTGTTCAAGAATGTCTCAAATGATCTGGCCAGGCAATAGTTCAGGGACCAGCCAGCCCCATAATATTTTGGATTGTGTTCTCTCCTCCCACCTCCCCTCACTTTTGGGTTGGGGTTCATTGGAGATCAGAGAGCTTGCTGAGCCTCAGGCATGTCCTATAGAAGAGGAGGTCATGGAGGGCAGAGGCTCCTCCACCTTCACAGGGAAAGAGCCAGAAGACAGGCCCAAGCCAGGCTGGTTAGGAGAGGTTTCAGAAGGTTCATGGAAAAAGAAGCAAGCCTCAATCAGAGCTGCTGGCTAGAAAACCCTGCTGCAAATTGTGTACAGAGATGTACCCTGAGTTGAAATAAGCAATGACACATTCAAAGAATAGGATTTTAGAACTTGAAGGACTTGCTCTGCCGGTTGCTCATAGAGTATGTGATTATTCTCTTCGGGCCTCTAGTTTCCTCTCATTAAAACTGGAACCCATGAAGGTTCTTGTACAGGTTAAAGTGTTTAGAACAGTGCCTGGCATATAGTAAGCACTGGGTAAGCGTGCGCCATTGCAGTGTGTGGGGAATCACAGGTGCTTGGATCCCAAACACCACTCACCAGCTGTGTAATCGTGTGCAAATCACTAACTTTTCTGAAGCTTCCTCCTCTATACAATAGAGGTAACCTCATAGTGCTTGTTATGGAGATTGAATGAAAATTAAAACACTAAGCACTTAAAACACTTAGTGCTTGGGACTGAGTCCTGTCCAAGAAAGGCTAATTATTTCTATTTCTGTTATCTTATTGGTACGTTTCTCTCATCATCTCTAGTCTTGTTCCTCTTGTATCCCTCCAACCAGGTTCATTCCAACTAATTCCCCAAAGGCAGTAAAAGTGATCTTCTTTAAAAATAAGTAACCTCAAAACAAATCTATAAGGACACAAAGCACACCAGTGGTTGTCTGGAGCCAGGGCAGAAAGGAGGATGGGTTAACCCCAAAGAGGCACCAGGGAGATTTTTCTGGATACGAGAAACGTCCTATATCCTGACTGGTGGTGGTTGCACAGGTATATTCCTAAGTCAAAACTCATCAAACTTTATAGTTAAAGGGGTGCATTTTGTTTAATATAAATTTTGCTTCAATAACATTGGTTTAAAAAAATGGTAAGCAGCTTCCCTCGTCATCCATTATATTACTACATTTTCTCTTCTTTTTTTTTAATGTTTATTTATTTTTGAGAGAGAGAGAGAGACAGCACTAACAGGAGAAGGGCAGAGAGAGAGGGAGACAGAAGATCTGAAGTGGGCTCCACACTGACAGCAGAGAGCCCAATACAGGGCTCGAACTCACAAGTCCTGAGATCATCACCTGAGCCGAAGCTGGACTCTCAACAGACTGAGCTACCCAGGGGACCCTCCTCCTCCTCCTCCTCCTTCTTCTTCTTCTTCTTCTTCTTCTTCTTCTTCTTCTTCTTCTTCTTCTTTTATTTATTTACTTTGAGAGAGAGAATGAGCTGGGGAGGGAGAGAGAGAGAGAGAGAGAGAGAGAGAGAGAGAGAATCCCAAGCAGGCTCCACACTGCCAATGTGGAGCCCGATGTGGGACTTGAACTCATGAACCTCGAGATCATGACTTGAGCTGAAATCAAAAGTTGGACACTTAACCGACTGAGTCACCCAGGAGCTCCACTACATTTTCTCTTCTCAATGGCATTTATTACCATATAAAATTCTCATTCATTTTTTTTAATTTTTTTTTTTTTTTTTTTTTTTTTTTTTTTTGTCTATTGCCCAATTCCTCCACCCCATCAAAATATAAACTGCTTGGAGGAAGGACTTGGTCTCGTCCACCACTCTAACTCCAGCATCTAGAACTATGCCTGGAACACAGTAGGAACACGATAAATTCTTTTTGACAGAATAACTGATTAAAATCCTTCAGTAATTCCGCCTCCAAATTATATACTGATTTTATCCATTCTCATCATCCCCTCTACTACCACTTTAACCTATGGTACCATTGTTTCTTGCTTGGATTATGCAATAGTCCCGTTTCTTCCACCACTGCCCCCTCATTTAAGTCTCCACAGAGCCCCCTTCCAAAATTTAAATCAGGTCACATTACTTCCCTACTTAAAATCCAATCAAAACGTGGGGCACCTGGGTGGCTCAGTTGGTTAAGCATCCAACTCTTGATTTTGGCTCAGATCAAGATCTCGAGGTGAGTTTGAGCCCTGCATCAGGCTCTGCACTGACAGCATGAAACCTGCTTGGGATTCTCTGTCTCCCTCTCTCTCTCTCTGTCCCTCCCCTGCTTGTGCTCTCTCTCAAAAATAAATAAATAAACCTAAAAAAAGAAAAATATCAAAACAAAACAAAAACATGTGAAGATAATTTGATTAAGAGGCTGAATAAGTGAATAAGGAAAGAAAAGCCAATTTAAAACTTCAGGAAGGGGCACCTAGAAAAGGGGTCTTTGCAGAGATAATTAAGTTTTCATTTTGTTATTTTCAAGTTCAGTCAGATGTTGAAGAGGCACAAATTAAAGACATTTTAATTTTATGGGTGCTTGGTGACTCAGTCGGTTAAGCATCTGACTGGCTCAGGCCATGATCTCACCGTTTGTGAGTTCGAGCCCTGCATCCGGTTCTGTGCTGACAGCTCAGAGCCTGGAGCCTGCTTCAGATTCTGTGTCCCTCTTTCTCTGCCCCTCCCCGACTGTGCTCTGTCTCTGTCTCAAAAATAAATAAACATTAAAAAAATAAATAATTAATTAAAAGAGACATTTTAATTTTAAAAATTCACATTTGACCTTTATTACATGACCCTGCCTCAAGATCAAAGAAATCTTTTCAATAGAACTGCACAAATGCTTTGAAGTTCAAGGTGTTTTTTTTTAAATTTAGTTTCATGGCTTGACAATGTAACTAATGTCAAAATGTATTCTTCAAAACTATAACTCTACTTTGGGAATCTGAACACCCGAGTTTTGTCTTGGCCACCATGCTGGGAGGCCTTGGGCAGGTCACTTCTTCTGAGTGTTCAATACTGCTGTGGAGCCGGCTGTGGTTCCCAAGTGCCAAAGACATTGGAATCATTACCTTGTTACAAACACAGATTTCTGGGCCCCATCCCAAGCTACTAAATCAGATTTTCTAACATTGAGGCCAGGAGTCTGTATTTTTAATTAACCAGATGATTACAATGTACAGTTTGGGAACTACTGAATTAGATGACCTCTCAGGTTCCTCATAGTTCTAAAAATTTGATTTTCTGGGGGCGCCTGGGTGGTGGGTTGAGCATCCAACTCTTGATTTTGGCTCAGGTCATGATTCCAGGGTAGTGGGATAGAGCCCTGCACTGGGCTCTGTGCTGAGCATGGAGCTTCTTGTGATTCTCTCTTTCTCTCTCTCTGCCTCTTCCCCATTCACACTCACATACTCTCTATAAAAAAAATAATAATTTTCTGGTTTCTGTTTCTTCTATCACTGGTTGTCCCATCTCTGCTACTAGATATTGTGCTAAAACACAAAGCCACAAAACAAACAATAAAAAACCAAGACCATGATTTAATCATCTCTACATCCTTCTGGCACCTACATAGTGCCTGGTATCTTATAGGCATACAATAAATATTTGAAAAATTAACCAATGATGATTAAATAAATGAATGTTATTTTATGTGGATCCCAATCACCGATGAACAGATAAATTTATATAGAGAGAAAATATAAACTTTTACCTGATATAATCTTGCACTCCCTGTCTGCCCTAGTACATACTTCAAATAATGGGTTGTGGGAATGAAGCTAATGCATATTGAGAGATCAATAGGAAAGTGGTTGAGATGCTTCCATGAGCTTGATTATCCTGCAATATTTCGCAGTGGTGGTGATAACTGAGAGAGTCTCATGATTCCGCAGGAGCTTGTTTTCCTCCCCTTGACATTTCCAGGTCCAGAAAAAGCCATATCCTTAATGGGTGACAGATGTTCTTGGGGCCATGCTTCAGGTCTTTGCACCTGCAGCTTTCTGTGGGGCCCCAGTGAATGGGAAGAGGCACTTGTCTTCTGCTGGAAGTTATCCAATATTTCCCTGGCAGTGGGTGTCAGCCAAGCAAAGTGAACCCCGATTGCCTAACACCACCTCTTGTGACCCAGCAGTTCCTTCTGCCATACCCCTCCCTCCTCCACACTCCACTAACCACCTGGACTTCCCCAGCTCAGACACTGTCTGCTGGCCTGGGAAGGTACCGGCTCAGGATGAAATCTGTCACGGGAGTGGGCAATTTAGCCAATGGCACGTAGAGGAGTTTGGCATCCAGGCCAGGGTTGTAGCGGATACGGGGGCTCCGGGAAACAATGGCGTGCTCCATGCTGTCGGTGACTTCTCTGATCCTTGGCTCTGCCAACTGCATCATGTTTTTTAACTTCTCAGTATCTGAGGGTACAAGAGGGGGCAGAAATCAAAGGCTCTGTTGCTCTTCACAAAAGATGGTTTCTTCTGAATTCTATCCAAGCTTCCTTTCCATCAGATCCAACATTTCAGGCAGATCTACCACACCCTCCAGGTTGTCCCTTACATGAACACCCTGTCAATAATCCTATTTCTCTTCCTGAATTCAAAAACTGTGTGTTGAATTCCTACTAGCAATCAGAAGAACTGTGCCCAGTTCTGCCACTTACTGGTTGTGTGACTTTGAGCTGAAACTTCCATCATCTATAAAATGGGAATAATAATACCTGCTCTAAAGAATAATAAAGATGAATAATAGCAGGGTAGACAGTGAAGCAGGACAGAAAAGAAAGCAAGTGTATATAAGTGCATGAGAAAAATTGGAAGAAAATAAGTAAAATTACTCTCTGGCTTGTGGGATTCTTAGTCACTGGAGGCTGTTTTGTTTTGTTTTGTTTTGTTTTTTCTCCTACACAGGTCTCAGAGTTACCATATTTTCTACAAAGTCATGCAAGAAAGAAAATGTTATTAAAAAATAGTAACGCTGGGATGACTGGCTGGCACAGCTGGTGGAACACACGACTTTTGATCTTGGGGTTGTAAGTTCAAACTCCACATTAGGTGTGGAGAGTACTTAAAAAAAAATTGTAACACTGCCCTTGCCTTGGTCATTAGGCCATTATGGGGCTCAAATGATCTAAGGCACAGGCAGATACATTGTAAGTCTCTAACAAATGTGAGGGGCTGTTCTGTTAGCATTGCGTACATGGGTATGAAGATGGGTGTGAGGCATCTGAGTGGTCCAAGTCTGCCAAGGCTCACAACACAAATAGACAAACCTCATGGTACACTTACCGGCCCTGATGTACAACTTTGCCCCAGGACTCTGGGATGGGGGCAGGTCACTGGGACTCATACTTCAACGAGAGCCCCAAGAACTCCAGAAGGAAATGGTGCCTGAGAGTCAGGCATCCCAATAAGGGATTAAAACTTGAAAACAAAAGGAGAAATAGCTGGTCCAAATTTGGGGATGGTCTAGGGAGACAGAGAATTCACCTCTCCATGCAAGAATGTGGTGAGCAGTTGATGAAGGTGGGACAGTGTGGTTTAAGTACCCTCACCTCCAACTCCAATGAACCCCCTTTGTGTTTCCTAGAGAGAAAACTACTATAGTGAAGCAGCTGTGCTCTTAACTTCTCTGTACTCATGTCAGTACATTTTCACCTGTGCACCTGCCTAATAATATGTCAGGAGGCAGGTGCCAGGAGTGGGGAACGTCCCTGGGCAGCATCTCCCCTACCACCACTCTCCCCGCAAAGGCTACTGTTCTGAGCAGTTGTGCCCTTGGCTTCTATTCTCAAATCCCAGCCTGCCACTAGTTGTGTGACTTTGGGTCCTTAACCCCTCTGAGCCTCCATCCCATTATCTGTGAAATGAAACGAGTCAGTGATCCCCAAGATCTCACTGTTCCTCTCAGAGACTCGTCTCCCTCCCAGAGAACTCACAGATGTGGAAGTAGTCCTCTCCGTAGCTGTCCCGGGTCTCCTGAGGCAACCGCTCCCACAGCTTTCGCATGCGGGAAACCATGCCTTCCTTGCCCAGGATGGATGTTCGATAGTTCCCCGGCTCAATGATGCTGACTTTCACCCCAAAGTAGTGGAGCTCACGCCTGGGAAAGAAGAGTTGGACTCAGTCTGGGGCACTACGATGACAAAGGATCATCAGGCACAGTCACTTCTGATCTCTACAGGGGCTTATTTCCCCGGAAACCTGGAGGTGCTTCCCTCCACCCCTGTGCCAGGCCAGGCATTGCCTTCATGCAAATCAGGGCCTCAGCCCTTGCCCAAGCAGTTTGCATTAGCAAACCCAGCAGGAAGGAAGTCAACAGAGAAATCTAGACCAAAGCCCTGCCTCCCACCAGGTTCACCCACTCAGCCTCATACTCAACACCCACGTGGCAAAGGAGTGAGGGGGTCTGGGTAAGGCCTGAATCCTCCTTTGAGAGTCTCCCAAGAGCATATCTGCCTCCAGGCCTCTCTGTCTGCATCAAATACTCTCCTTTCTACCCTCATAGGCCCAAACATAGTTCTACTTACTTCGAGACAGCTGAAGGGAATACAGGAAGACAGCCTCCTATCACCACCCTACCTGTTCTCCTCATCCCTTCTCCTGGTCCTTGGGGAAGGCTCCCTGAGGACTAGCCCTCTTCCTGCTACTGTGTTAGCTCCCTCCCTCCAGAACTCCCTTGCCCACATGCTGCCCTCCCCAGCTCTCTCTTCCTGAGGTGAAATCCCCAGGACTCCGACCCAGAGTGGTTTGGCACCAGGGCCCAGTCACCTGATGCTGTCAGAGAAGGCCTCGACGCCAAACTTGGAGACGCAGTAGCCACCACCGATGATAGCCACGCGACCACCAGAGCTGGACATGTTGATGACCCTGCCCCGGGCTTTTTTGACCATGGGCAGCATGTGGAGGGTCACTTCGATCAGTCCCACCAGGTTCACATTGATCACCTTCACAAAGTCCTCCTTCGTCAGCCATTCATTGGGCCCACTGGGCAGGCCTACACCTGCATTGTTCACCAGGGCCCAGAGGCCTGGGGGCGTGATGGGAGGGAGAGAGAACCACACAGAAATCATTAGCATCTCTGGAAAATCATCAGTGTCCACCACCCACCAGCCCAGGGCTTCTGAGGATGTTCGAGCAGGTGCACAAGGCACAAGAAGGCAGGCTGGTGGCATGTGATGGGGAGCTATGACAGCCCAAAGGAAGATATGCCTTTTACTAATTAGTTTTCCCCAAAGGGGCACTTTTTATGATTCACACAGACTGTCACTGTGCTAGCTGGGGCCCTGTACCAGCTACAGTCCAGGCTTTAGCTAATAGCACCTAAGCTATTAGCTCTGGGAAGAGAGAGATAATTTTCATACCAATGAATTAATGGTTGAAGTCTTGCCCTTATCATGCTTCCCCCTCTCTATCCACCTAAGTGTAAGAAACCGACTCCATTTCACACATTATTAAAATGAGTTCATCCATTCACACATTCATCCATTTATCTACTCATATATCTATTCTCTGTCAGTGAAGGTGCTGGGGATGTAAAATGAACAAGATAGATATTGTCCCTCAAGGAGCTCACAAACCAGAGAGGAAATAAATAATATTCATAAATGTGTAACACATTTAAATAAAACAATCATGAAAAAAATGTAATAAGGGCTCTCTTTCAAATATTTAATTTGAGTTGAGTTGGTACAAATGGAGAGAAATAATGCTAAGTATTGTCATTCAACTCTGCAGGAACCCACACCTGAAGATCCTTAAGTTCCAGTTCTATTTCTACCTTCAGCCTTGGACAAGTCACTTCCTCTCTCTGGGCCTCAGGTCCTTTATCGACTGGCCAGGACAGTTGCTTCCAGCCTGGGGTTTGCAATCCTGAGACCCTTCCAGGCTGAACCCCAGAACTGGCTCAGGAGATGCAGGGGAGGCTCAACTTCCATTTGTTTTACATGTCAAGCTTCCAAGTGAAATTCCACTTGGAGGAGGAGGTTTGATTCTAAAAACACATTGGAAAAGTCCTTAAAACGATTCCTAAGGACACCTTCCACCTTGACACCTTTGGTATCAAAGATTCCAAAAACCCCACTGCTCAGGTGCCTTGCCTTCCCTTCCCCTCCCCTCGTCCTCCCAGCTCACCTTGACTCCTGCAGCCCCAAGATACTCTTCCCAGCACAACTGCACTCTCTTCCAATAACTTGTCAGGATGTAAACACCACTCTTGGTCCACCCTCCTCCTATGCCTGGGGTCCACACACAAGCCATGTCCCTACTGTATCTTCCAGGACAGCCTTCCCTCAATATGAGGGAATAATTGTATATTATATATATAATATATATAGAGAGAGGAAGAGGGTCATGAGCTAAGAAATGCAGGCAACCTCTAGAAGCTGGGAGAGGCAATGAAATGAATCCTCTCCTAGAGCCTCCAGAATGAACACTGCTCTGTTGATACCTTGATTTTAGCTCAGTGAGACCCATTTTGGACTTCTGACCTCCAGAACTTTAAGATAATAAATTTGTGTTGTTTTAAGCCACTACATTTTTGTGTTAATTTGTTAGAACAGCAACAGGAAACTAATATACCCAGTGACTCATTAACACAAGTGGCTCACAGCTAAATGTAGGGCAAGGCAGCCTATTGAGAAAAGAGACTGACTCTCGCTGAATTATTCATTAATTAGTTCATTCAACAAAAATTTATTGAGCACCGTACTAGATGCCAGACACTATTCTGTACTAAGGATCTATAAAAGAAAAGAGACAAAAAGCCCTGCCCCCCGCCCCATCCTAGGAACCTTTATTCTAGCAGGGGAAACAAACAATGAATAAGAAAAATAAGTAAAATATATGGAATATTAGATAGTGGTAAATGCTAAGGAGAAAAATCAAGCAGAGAGTTACTGTTTGGCCCTTCCTGGGCCCCAGGGCTCTCCAGCCCCCAGACCAGTTCCCTTAGGAGCCAGGACTTCCTCCAGGCTGCTGTTCCACAACAGAGCCAGCCTGTTTCTCCTGCTCCTGTGCCCATGCCCTGCATGCAGGAAGCTTCCCGGGCAGGTTTGCATGTAGTCCTGGGCCAGCCCAGCCAGCCCACGGCCTCCTTTCCCAATAGGAGCGGTCACGCTGATGTCATCACTTACATTGAGGTCAACCCAATACCCACCATGATGTGAAGGAAGAGGACAGATCTCTGTCTCCCCTGCCTTCCAGTTTGACACAATCAAGGAGAGCAAATGTCCCTGCTCAGGGAGTCCAACCTCCTGTCCCCTCTTCCCTCTCCCCAGCCCACTCCCAGTAAGAAAGGTGCTCACATTTCAGTTGGAACTGATGGTTAGGACTACCTAAATCCCAGAGAGGCAACTCCCATCTTTAGAGGTTTGGACATACAGAACAAGTCTTCCCTCTCCCACATCCTCTGGCAACCTTCCCCCATCCCTCTGAGTCTCTAGCAGAAAAAAACTTCCTTGGGAAATCACCCCTTTTGTGTGAACAGACCAAACTAAGCAACAGTTTCCAAACCCACTGAGCCAAAGCCCCAGCCCCTTTCTCTACATCACCTCTCCTACTACATCTGAACAACACTGTCCCTGATCACTGTCAGATGCCTAGAAGAGAAAGACAGAAGAATAAACTAAGAAGGCCAAAGAATGCAATTTGCCCCACCTTGCTCACCCACTTGGTCCCTCACCCACTGGGCCGCTGCCTTTATACTCTCAGTCTTGGTGACATCCAATAGGGTGGTCTGCAGTCGGTAAGAGGTATCCTGCTGAAGCTTCTGGGCCCCTTCCTCAGTGAGGCAAGCAGCCAGCACCCGCATGCCTCGATCAACCAGCTGCCTGGCCAGCAGGTTCCCGAAGCCCGAGTCACAGCCTGTGATGAAGACATACTTGTCTGAGAGGTTGCGGACCAGATTGCAGTTCTTGAACCATCGATACATAAAGGAGAGATCCGTGATAGCTGCCATAGGGCAAGAGGATGCTGGTGGCCAAGAAGTATTGGGCTCAGGAGACAGCTGGAGAGGCTGGTCTTCTGAGCCCCAGCTGGCAGTCTGCTGAAAGCCACTGAGAAGAGCTTTCTTCCACTGGCAACAGACAGGGCTCCTGGATGAGCCACTTTATAATTTCTATAGGTGGATGCATCACCATACCAATTAGCCTAGATGCAAGAAATTCAAGTCCAACCTGAAGCCTTGTGACCTCAGACAGTACTGGTGGCTGCCTCTCGCTCTCCCCCAGCCCTGATAGGTGAAGCTGCCAAGGATAGGAAAGACCCCGTTGGTGATGCTGATGCTGAGAGGTGGCTCACCTGGGTGGTCTGAGCAGGCCAGGTGAGAAAGGAGGACTCAGCCCAGAGAGCATCCCTGGGAATCTCCCACCTCTGGCCCAGGGATCAAAATCATTTGTCATGAGTTCAGACATGTAAATAAACTTAATTTTTATTTTCAGGCAAAAAAATTAAGACAAATTCATTAATGTAAAACAAACAGAATTGGCTTTGTGCCCCCCAAGTCCCAAAAGAAATGAGTTTCAAGTTACTGGCTCTTTGCAATTCTCTGTCTTTAGGTGAATCTCCATTATGAGAGATTAAGAAAAACAAAAGGTTTTCCCCAGGGTGGATGTGACTCCACTGAGGCCAGAGGCAGCAGAACCCTTCTGCAGGAAGGCTGCTTTTTTTCTTTTTAATTTCTTTTTTTTTTTAATTCAAGTTAGTTAACAGACAGTGTAGTATTGGTTTCCAGAGTAGAACCCAATGATTCATCATTTACATATAACACCCAGTGCTCATCTCAACAAATGCCCTCCTTAATGCCCATCACCCATCTAGCCCATCCCCGCCCCCCACCCCCACCCCCAGCCCTCCAGCAACCCTCAACTTGTTCTCTGTATTTAAGAGTCTCTTATGGATGGCCAGGGAGGCTGTTCCTGAAAGCAGAAAGATGGAGGGGCTCCGGGCCTGGGTCTTGGGAGGTGATACTCAAGTCACCAATGAGGAGCCCCCACTGCATTCCAGGCAGACCCAGCTCTCACCCTCACTTGGTGACCGGACAAATGGACAAAGTTAATGGCAGAAGACACATCAGCTCCCCCAGGGCTGGGCCCCCTTGGGCATTTCTTTCTACCTCGAGGGCTAAGCACACACTAGGGGATCTAGTAATCTGAGAAGGCCAGAGGGGATAGTGGAAGGAAGGGATTATGAAGTCAACTGACACAGTGGCTAATTGGATGTACAGAGGTAGGGGAGACCAGGAGTCAGGGGGATTTTAATATACTGGGGCTGATAACGGGTAGAACCACAAGTGGCAAGAGAATTCAGAGGCAGGAGATGAGAGAGTTCTGACATGAACATCATTGAGATGAGGTCCAGCCAGATGATAAGGGCAGGTCATGAGTTCCCTGGGCAGCTGCAGGAATGGCCTGGGGCCAACTCCTTGGCTCCAAGAAGAAGACTGGAATAAGAGACTTGGAAAAGTCTCAAGGTCAGGACTTGGAGGGGAGGGAGAAATTCCAGGAAATGGGGCAAAGAACTCACAAAAGTTAGGAGGGAAGCTGGTAAAGAAGAAGAAATAAGGAGATGAGACAGAGGAGCCTAAGATTCAGGGACAGAGGATGTTGGGGTCTATGGTGGCTCTTGAATAAACCTCTAGAGTCACCATTCCCCAAGATGAGCCTAGTCACCAACTCATCCCAAGGGACTGGCGGCCAGCCACCCACACCTTCCCTGTTCAAAGAGTCTGAAAGAAATGGGGCCACAAATTTCCTAGGGTGAAGAGACAAGGATGCATCTCTATGCTGTGTGCTATCTACCAAGGTTGGTAAGCTCCAGAATCAAATAAAGCAGGTGTCACCTCAAGAAAGACCAGAGAGGTTGGTCATTCTATAACAAGGGTGGTAGGAGTGAGAGGTAAGATCAAGGACACACCCCTGAGGTGCTGATCCAAACCCCGTGTGGGACAGAGGTGGGAAGCAGTGGAAGCAAACCCCAACTATGGCATTCCAAGCCCAAGGCACAACGCATACACTCAGTCTGGGAGGCACCTCCTAACTCTGCCCTCTGGGTAAGTGGACAGGGAAATTTTGGCTAGGGGAAGCCAGACAAGGTCACTCAAGGGCTGAAGAGCCCCAGGGGTATCCCAATCCTTGAGAAGACAGGTGACATCCAGGGATTGTCTATGGATTTAGAAAGGGATGACTTGGAACTGCTCCAACACAGGACCAGGCCTGACCCATGATCGCATGGGCCTCTCTGCTGACTGATGGTCAAGGAAATGCTCTCCTGGGTTCAAACTCCCAACACCCAAAAAAGCAGGTCACACAGTGGAGGGCTGCAGGACCACACAGAAGGGTTCTTTCCCTAGGGCTAGAAATGCCCCACTCTCAGATGACAGGTCTCCCTGCTGTGTGGGCACCTGAGGCTGACAGGTCAGGCTGGTGGTTGAACTCCACCCACATGTCTGTTCACTAGTATCCTCAGCAGAGAGGGGCCTTCAGCTCCTCCAGGCCATCCCCAGCCCCTACTACAGGGTGAGAATGAATGACACTGCCACATCTGACCTCGCTTTCTGTTTTCACCAAAAACACTGATATTCTACAGTATCAGGTCCCCCTAAGGTCTCCATAGCCTCAGTTTGAAACTGAGGGAAGAAAATTAAGGCACCTGATGAGGCAGCTCCCAGCACCAATTTGTCCTCAGCCCAGGAATCTACATCGCTTTGTACAATGCGTTCTCTGTTCAGTTCATACTCAGAACATCATCAGAACAGTGGAGATGTAGAGAGTTGTGGTCTTGGGAAATGCTGGGTAATTAAGGGAACCCCTGCCTAGTTTATAGTAGGTGCTCAACAAAGGTTAGCAGAAAACAACAGACTGGGGTCCAGAAGTGACTCTTACTGTCCTCCACCATAGGGTGTGAGAAAGGGGATCTGGGCTGGGGAACCTGGGGATGGCTGCAGATGGGGGGCATAACTCTAAAAGAGGGGACAAAGAGGGCTGCGGAGAGGTTACTGTTGAGGGGAGAGGCTGATGTCCCCAGGAAAGGGACTGGAGTCTGCCAGTGCCTCAGCAACTTCTCTTTGTCTATCCATCCTTGGGTCTTCCTGTGACACCATGTTACTTGAAAAATCCTGGAAAAGAAACATTAGCCTCCCACCCCACTTCTTTGGAAAGAAGAGTGATCCAACTCCCCTCTTAAAATCCCACCCCCATGATCTCCATGAAGGCACCTGACTCCTTCTCTTATGGATTCATATCCCACCACTCCCCAAGGCCACAGTTCCAATCACTGGATCTAGGTAAACTTATCAATTTTTATTTTAAGGCAAAAATAATCAATGGACATCAAGGTTTCAAGACAACTCAACAACTGGTTTGTTTCTGTATCCTCTGTCATGATTCCAATTACAGACATGTCCTTTCAGCCAGGGTCTGTGAATTGGCACCTCAGGTTGATGGGTCAGGCTGGTGGTTGCCATCCACATCTCCATCCCTGTCAGAGGTATCTTCAGTGGAAAGGGGCATTAACTCCCCCAGGCCATGTCCATCCTGTAGGAGGGGGACACTGGACAGAAGCAAGGCACACCTTGAGTACGGGGACAGAAGCAGAGCAGGTGGGGGCTGAGCCCCTCCCTGCTGCTAACACGCTGCCAAGAATGGATTCCTCAAGTGGCAGGAGGGCCAAAAGACTCCAAGCCTTGAGAGGTCATTCAAGGAACAGGGTATGGTTGTGTGCTATTGGGTCCCTGTTCCTCAATCACAAAACTTGTGACTTTCCTCCTAATATTCCTAGAGTGCTAATGCCCAGGGAAGTCTGGGGAGGAGGGGAGGAGGAAGTTGAGATGGGTGCCCCTGGTGACACAAGAACCCCCCCTCCACTGTATTTCCCTCCCCCTGAGGGATTCCCACCCTCACACAGTACCCAGCTCCCTCCTACCATGCACCCCAGTCTGGGGTTACAGAGCCTTGATGGGTCTTTGAGACATCCAGTAGATCATGGCATCCACCAGTAAGGTAGGCATGTAACTCATGGGGAGGTAGAGGAGCTTGGCATCCCAGCCAGATGAGTATCGAGTGCGGGGGTGGCAGGCTGTTAGGGCATGTTCCACGCAGTTTGTCACCAAGTACAGATTGTTGCAACATGTTGACTTCAACTTTTTCGCTGATTTCTTGACTGTCCAAAGGGAACAACATATCGTCACCTTTTAATCTTGCTTTGGGATCAATTTGAGAGAAGTTTCTAAAAGCACCCCACCTCTCCCCACTCATCTCCAGGTTGAATCCATGGATTTCATCGGAGTGTGTCCCGACTCCTTCCCACAGGAACACTCTCCACACTACAGTGACTTGAGCTGAAACTTCCATCATCTATAAATGGAATAAATAATACCTGCTCTAAAGAATAATAAAGATTAATAATAGCAGGGTAGGAGCAGTGAAGCAGGATGAAAAGAAAGGCAGTGCATATAAGTAAGGCTGAGAAAAATTAAAAATGGCAAAATTACTCTCTGGCTTGTGGGATTCTTAGTCACTGGAGGCTGTTTGTTTTGTTTGTTTTGTTTTTTTCTCCATAGGTCTCAGATACCATATTTTCTGGGCAGTCAAAAAGAAAGAAAATGTTATTAAAAAAATAGTAATGCTGGATGACTGGCTACACAGCTGGTGGAACACGACTTTGATCTTGGGGTTGTAAGTTCAAACCCACATTAGGTGTGAGAGTACTTAAAAAAAAATTGTATTGACTGCCCTGCCTTGGGTCATTAGTCATTGCGGGGGGGCTCAAAATGATAATACACGGGGCAGAGTTACATTGTAAGTTCCCAACAAATGAGGGGTTGTTCTGTTAGCATTGCTATTACATGGGCATGGAAGATGGGCGTGAGGCATCTGAGTGGTCCAAGTCTGCTGGTTGCCTACAACACAAATAGACAAACCTCATGGTACACTCACTGCCCTGATGTACAACTTTGCCCCAGGACTCTGGGATGGGGCAGGCTCACTGACTCCTACTCTCTCCAACGAGAGCCCCAAGAACTCCAGAAGGAAATGGTGCCTGAGAGTCAGGCATCCCAATAAGGATTAAAACTTGAAAACAAAAGGAGAAATATTGAACCAAATTTGGGGATGGTCTAGGGAGACAGAGAATTCACCTCCATGCAAGAAATGTGGTGAGCAGTTGATGAAGGTGACAGTGTGGTTTGGGCACCCTCACCTCCAACTCCAATGAACCCCTTGTGTTTCCTAGAGAGTCCACTATAGTGAAGCAGCTGTGCTCTTAACTTCTCTGTACTCATAAAACAAGTACATTTTCACCTGTGCACCTGCCTAATAATATGTCAGGAGGCAGGTGCCAGGAGTGGGGGAACGTCCCTGGGCAGCATCTCCCTACCACCACTCTCCTCGGGCAAAGGCTACTGTTCTGGAGTAGTTGTGCCCCTCTTTTGGCTTTATTCTCAAATCCCAGCCTGCCACTAGTTGTGTGATTTAAGTAACTAACCCTCTGAGCCTCCATCCCATTATTCGTGAAATGAAACGAGTCAGTGATCCCCAAGATCTCACTGTTCCTCCCAGAGACTCGCCTCCTCCCAGAGAACTCATGATGGGAAGTAGTCCCTCTCCTGCAGGCTGTCCCGGGTCTCCTGAGGCAACCGCCTCACACAGCTTTCAAGACATGGAAACCATGCCTTCCCACCCAGGATGGATGGGCACCATAATGGCTCAATGATGCTGACTTTCACCCCAAAGTGGAGCTCACTGGGAAAGAAGAAAGTTGGACTCAGTCTGGGGCACCAGACAAAGGATCATCAGCACAGTCACTCTCTGACTTACAGGGCCATTTCCCCGAAACCTGGAGGTGCTTCTCCACCCCTGTGCCAGGCCAGGCATTGCCTTCATGCAACCAGGGCCTCAGCTCCTTGCCCAAGCAAGCAGTTTGGGTAGCTAGCAAACCCCAGCAGGAAGGAAGTCAACAGAGAAATCTAGACCAAAGTCCCCTGCCTCCCACCACAGGTTCACCCACTCAGCCTCATACTCACCACCTGGGCGTGGTGGCAAGTGAGGGGCCTGGGTAAGGGGCCTGGAATCCTCCTTTGAGAGTCTCAAGAGCACATCTGCCTCCAGCCTCTCTCTGTCTGCATCAAATACTTCCTTTCTACCCCCATAGGCCCATAGTTCTACTACTCGGAGACAGCTGAAGGGAATACAGGACAGCCTCCACCCTACCTGTCTCTCCCCTATCCCTTCTCCTGGTCCTTGGGGAAGGCCTGAGGACTAGCCCTCTTCCCAAGTTACTGTGTTAGCTCCCCTCCTCCAGAACTCCCTGCCCACATGCTGCCCTCCCTCCCAGCCTCTCTCTTCCTGAGGAAATCCCCAGGACTCGACCCAGAGTGGTTTGGCAAGAAAATTAGGCCCAGTCACCTGATGCTGCCAGAGAAGGCCTCACGCCAAACTTGGAGACGGTAGCCAACCACCATACAGCTGTCATGACCACCACAGTTGACATGTTTGATGACCCTGCCCCGGCTTGACCATGGGCAGTATGTGGAGGGTCATTTCATTTCCAGTCCCACCAGGTTCACATTGGATCACTCTTTCTTTCACAAAGTCCTCCTTCTCACAGCTATTCATTGGGCTCACTGGGCAGGTCTCATACCTGTATTCACCAGGGCCCAGAGGCCTTGGGGGGCGTGATGGGAGGGAGAACCAGATGAAATCATTAGGGGCACTTCTGAAAATCAGTGTCCACCACCCACTGCCCAGGGCTTGAGATGTTCGCAGCAGGTGCACAAGGCACAAGGAAGGTGCTGGTATGTGATGGGGGGAGCTATGACAGCCCAAAGGAAGATATGCCTTTACTAATTATTTTTCCCTGTGTACAATTTTTATGATTCACACAGATCGTCATCACTGTGTTAGCTGGGGCCCTGTACCAGCTAAGAACTAGGGGCTTAGCTAATAGCACCTCAAGCTATTAGCTCCAAGAGAGAGATAATTTTCTGCTCAATGAATTAATATTGAAGTTTTATCATGCTTCCCTCTCTCATCATCCACCCAAGTGTAAGAAACTGACTCCATTTCACATTATTAAAATGAGTTCATTCATTCACACATTCATCCATTTATCTACTCATATATATCTATTCTTGTCAGTAGAAGGTGCTGGGGATGTAAAATGAACAAGATAGCTATCCCTCAAGAGCTCACAAAACCAGAGGAAATAGATTCATAAATGTAACACATTTTAAATAAAACAATCATGGAAAAATGTAATAAGGCTCTCTTTCAAATATTTAATTGAGCTGAGTTGGCAAATGGAGAGAAATAATGCTATGCATTGCCATTCAACTCTGCAGGAACCACACCTGAAGATCTCAAGTTCCAGTTCTCCTATTTCTACCTTCAGCCTTGGACAAGCCACTTCCTCTGGGCCTCCCAGGTCCTTTATCGACGGGCCACAGGCCAGCTAAGCTCCAGCTCAGTTTGCAATCCTGAGGTTTTCCAGGCTGAACCCCAGAACTGGCTCAGAGATGCAGGGGGAGGCTCAACTTCCATTTGTTTTGTACATGTCAAGCCTGGCCCACTTGGAGGAGGAGGTCGATTCTAAAAACACATTGGAAAGTCTAAAACGATTCCCAAGGACACCTTCCACCTTGGACACCTTTGGTATCAAAAGATTCCAAACCCTGCTCAGGTGCCTTGCCTTCCCTTCCTCCCCTCCCCTCCTCCCAGCTCACCTGACTCCTGCAGCCCCAAGATACTCTTCCCAGCACAACTGCACTTCTTCCACAACTTGTTGTCAGGATGTAAACACCACTCTGGTCCACCTCTCCTCCTCTGGTGCCTGGGGTCCACACATGCTTATGTCCCTACTGTATCTTCCTAGGACAGCTTCCTTCTCAATATGAATAATTGTATTATATATATAATATATATAGAGAGAGTGAAGAGGGTCATGAGCTTCAAAATGCAGGCAACCCTCAGGAAGCTGGGAGAGGCAATGGAATGAATCCTCCTAGAGCCTCCAGAATGAACACTGCTCTGTTGGATACCTCTGATTTTTAGCTTTCCAGTGAGACCCATTTTGGACTCTCTGACCTCCAGAACTTTAAGATAATAAATTTGTGTTGTTTTAAGCCACTACATTTTTGTGTTAATTTGTTAGAACAGCAACAGGAAACTAATATACCCAGTGACTCACAACACAAGTGGCTCATAAATGTAGGGCAAGGCAGCCTATTGAGAAAGAGATCTGACTCTGCTGAATTATTCATTAATTAGTTCATCTGTCAAAATTTATTGAGCACTGCAATTAGATGCCAGACATTATTCTGTACTAAGGATCTATAAAAGAAAAGAGACAAAAAAGCTCCTGCCTGCCCCATCCTAGGAACCTTTATTCTAGCAGGGGAAACAAAAACAATGAATAAGAAAATGGCAAAATATATGGAATACATTAGATAGTGGTAAATGCTATGAGAAAAATCAAGCAGAGAGTTACTGTTTGCCCTTCCTGCCCCAGGGCTCTCCAGCCCCAGACCAGTTCCTCCTTAGGAGCCAGGATCTCCCCCTCCTCCAGGCTGCTGTTCCACAACAGAGCCAGCCTGTTTCCTCCTGCTCCTGTGCCCATGCCCCTGCATGCAGGAAGCTTCCCGGGCAGGTTTGCATGTAGTCCTGGCCAGCCCAGCCAGCCCACGCCCTCCTCTTTCCCAATAGGGAGCTACGCTGGATGTCATCATCACTTACATTGAGGTCAACCCAGCACACTGATGTGAAGGAAGAGGACAGATCTCTGTCTCCTGCCTCCAGCTTGACACACAATCAAGGGAGAGCTAAATGTCCCCTGCTCAGGAGTCCAACCTGTCCTCTTCCCTCTCCCCCAGCTCCACTCCCCAGTAAGAAAGGTGCTCACATTTCAGTTGGAATCTGATGGTTAGACTACCCAAATCCCAGAGAGGTAAACTCCCATCTTGGACATACAGAACAAGTCTTCCCTCTCCCACACATCCTCTGGCAACCTTCCCCATCCTCTGAGTTCTAGCAGAAAAAAAAACTTCCTTGGGAAATCACCCTCCTTTGTGTGAACAGACCAAACTAAGCAACAGTTTCCAAACCCACTGAGCCAAAGCCCCAGCCCTCCTTTCTTCTACATCACCTCCTACTACATCTGAACAACAC